ATAATGCGTATATTTATATAGCTACACATCCCAGTACATATTTGGGTGCCCCAAGATCACATCATACATATACATGATCATGATATATAATCTTACGTTTACGTACTCGAATATCATCCATATTCAAAATATCCCTCCCCCCCTCCCCCTCCTCCTCCTCCTCCTCCTCCTCCTTCTCCTCCTCCTTCTCTCCTCCCCTCATCCAATATTTATCAATCATGTCTCTCAAATTTGCCAAATTGCCGCTAATAAATTACATTAAACTCACCTTCCGGTATTCCCGTTTCCTCGTTTGGATGATTGATGATTGATCTTCCAACTTCACACCATATATGGAAGTATGAAGAAAACCCTCGGTCGCTGTTGTCACTCGTGCCTGTACTCTTGGACGAGACGATGCTATCTAAATCCTGTAAACCACCTAATCTGTGGGTCAACTTACAATTCCTTTCGTTTCTCGAAACACAACGCGGCTGTGTTGTTTTCTGATCTATCTACATAGGCACCAACAGGTGAGGTCGCCACCTTTCCCTTCTCTCTTATCCTGCTCGACATGGCATATATTACCAACGTACCGACTATTCTGTGAAGAATTATGGGTCATAATTCGGTACATATTGTGGCGGTAATGTACATAGTATGTATCATGCAAAGACCCTACTTTCTGCAACATATCACGATGCCCAACATCTTTTGAGAAAGGTTCATGGGGGCGTTGTCGTACATCGTAAGTAGTTCTACTTCCCGAAAGATCCACAGTTGATACCATATCAACGTCGATTATTGCCATTTTCAGACGCGCCAACGTCGATATTGCAACCACCACGTCGCTATCTTTTCTACTTTCATGGCGTGGAGGCTATGACATATCATACTTCACGGAGTCGAACCCTTAAAAATGTTTACCAATCATATCTTAGTAGATAGGTGAAACTTGAAAGATAATAGATTGTAATCGTTACCAATATGGATAGTCTGTTGATCTGCCGCCATTTGGGTTTGGTTGGGCGCCTTGTCTCACGGTAAACCTTACACCTTCATTCAATACATTCTCTTCCGGAGTCATCTTTCTCTTGCGGAAAGGCTGAAGAAGATCTTTGTGATTTTTCGCATTAGCATGCAGCCTCGCCAAGTTATAACGTTGAGTTCAAAGTATGGTATCTTCTCGTGTCGTGATCCGACTCGTGCTTTCGTGGCAGAGATATGCGCAAGGCGTAGTGTCTCACGGTATTATCCAAAAGATTGACATTTACACAACATATTTATGATAAAGCATGAACCATCGCCTCTTGCGCTTGGGTCTCATCACTACTTGATTTCCATCATGAAACACGAAAGAGGTTCCATTATTAATTGTGAATGTTGCAAATTTGAGCATTGATATGTTCATGGAGAAAGCTTCTATTTGGACTGCCGGGTTTAATTTTGGTAGTTCATTTCTATCCTGGAGATCATCAATCTGAAGAAAGCACACACACAACAATCATCAAACCGCGAGTGCCGGAATGGACTGACTCTCAGCAAGGTTGTCTCCATTCAAACTGTCTGCAAATTTGCCACACAATCAATTCTTCTCCATAAGCCTGACTACTTCTTCACATCGTGGACTCTGTCAAAATATTTGAGATTCGGCACATGCGTAATACTTTGGTTGAGGTCTTCGACACTCCTCGGTAGTTCTCAACGTCGTCATGAAGTCAAAGCACCAACCTTTAATTGGAATTAAAAGTCATTTGGGCCAACTCAGATGAACTAAAAAATTACTTTTTTGTCAGTCTGATGATATGATCTTGTTATTTTCAATATCTGACGACTGATGAATATATTGAAGTCAGAAGGCTACCCCTGCTATTTGTTGTTGAGCGAGCATTCGCGATGTCATCGCTTTCACAATAAATTCATCATGTACTTCAGTCGCAACTCGGGAGTATCAATTTAGTTCTCCCTACCAAATGTATCGATGCCCCAAGTCTGAATGGTGAAAATAATAAGCTGTGAGAAAGTCGATCAATGCAGGTAAGTTGACACATCTACACAGCTACTGATTGCAGCAATTACAAGACCCAGAAAATGTTGAATTGTAAGAACGATAGCTTCAATACTGAGTTTCATTCAGACGTTGAAACTATACAATAGGCACAATCAAGAGAAGAACAAGAAAAGTAATACGTGAATGGTAATGGTAATAAAACATTTTCAATCCATTGAAAATTTTAACAAATCAAATCTGGCGTCGTGACGGAGTGGTTAACGTGATTGACTAGAAATCAATTCCTTTCGGGGGCGCATGTTCGAATCATGCCGACGTCGATATTTTTTATTTTTTATTGAGATTTTTTACTTTTGTGAAATTTTGAATGCTTGATTTAGGGTTAGGTAGATATATAGATAGGTAGGTAGATGGATGTGAGAAGAATAAACACATATTTATTATAATGATGATGATGATTCTCGTACAGAAATTTCTCATTATTGTTCATCAAATCTCAAATTTCGAATTTCAGAGATGGGGAAAATTTTCGAAATGTGTGGTGGGGAATTACTTGGGTATTCATTGTGGATATAGTTGTAGATATGGATACTCCGTACAGATATGGAGATGAATATGGATACCTACCTACCCATGGACCTACTAAGTAGATAGGTACTTCGTTTGATATTCGGGGGTAAGGGGGGTTTTGAATCTTGATAGGGTTTTGGGGGTGGTGATGTGATGGGATGGTGATGTGATGGGGTGGGATAGAGATTGAGATAGAAATGGAAATTAGATGGGAATTAGAATGGGAATTAGAATAGAAATTAGAATGGGAATTAGATATTTAGATATCTAAACAGATACATAGATAATAGGTAGGTAGGTAGTAAATAATAAGCTCAATTTAAATATACTATTTATTTTGATTTTTATATACCATGTATATTTAATATTTGGTGGATGTAATTATTTATTGTTTTTTTTGTTTTTTGTTTTTTTTTGGAATAGATACTAGGTAGATGAGTTTATTATTCTATATTCTATATTCATTTATGTAATTAATATATGTAGTATTTGGTCTTTATGGATTGCTAGATTGCTAGGTATTTAGATATCTCGTTTTATTATCATTTCATCATCACCTCTCATCTCATCGCCTCCCTCCCCTCATCAAAACCAAAACCCAAACCCAAACCCAACATCAACATCCAAATCCAAATCCACATCCAAATCCAAAAAAAAAAAGTATTAAAAAAATTAAACCCCGCAAATTATACTTTTGATGAGTTCATAGGGCAGATATAGCATATATAGTATAGCATAGCATATATAGGTAATATACATCATCATCATCGGGCACACCCGTTCACAAATGGAGTACTAGGTACGTAGGTAGGTTATTATCAAATTTTCACTTACTCCGTATATTCTATGTCAATTGTGGGTAAGATATAGTAAGTGTAATGTTTTTGGGATTGATGATGGGATTGAGTGTGGTATGATAGGGAAGTAAGGAGGGAGGCAGGTATTGTGACTCTTATGATTCTTATGATTCTTGTGATGTGATATGATAAGAACCTATAAGCCTGCTTGCTTGCTTGCTTGCTTGCTTGCTTGCTTGCTTGCTTGTAAAAAAATCATTCATTCAAATATTGATATTGATATTGGCCTTGTGTGTATGAAAGTGGGATAAATACAATCCATGGATGTAGATAGATGAGGGCTGCGGGAGGTGGATAGTGGATAGTGGATAGTGGATAGATGGATAGATGGATAGATGGATGGGGGAACCAACAAATTGATTAGTATTTCGTCATTGTTTTTGTGTTTTGTTGTTTTTGGGGGGGAGGGGAAGGAGAAGGGGAAGGGTATGGGAAAGTTGGATATGGATAGTATTGGAGATATCCGTAAGAAAAGATTTGGGATCACGCGATTAGAAAATATCCATGGGGAGGGAATTTAGATTTTGAAAAGTAGATTTTGAATCTTGGATTGGGGTTTGAAGGGTTTGAAGAATGAGAGCATGGGAGATGAGAGGTGAGTGATGAGTGATGAGTGATGAGTGATAGATGATTGGATTTTATTCTTCGTTATTCGTTCTTCGTTACAGAATATGACAGGATAGGATAGGATGAGTCGATCGAGAAAGGACAAGACAGGACAGGGCAGGCGCGGTTAATTTTTAGGTTGGATTTTCTAATTTTCATTGGTGTGTGTTTGCGCATTCGTTTGATTTGCTGCATTGTATTGGATGAAATTTCATGTTGGAAGTTGGAAGGTTGGTAGGTAGGTGTAAGTAGGTATAAAAACAAGATTATGGCCGGCTGGCTGGCTGGCTGGCTGGTTGTGGTTTGCGGTTGGGTTATATTATATAGAGGGGTGGTTGATATTGATATATAGAAGGGAGGAAGGAAGGAAGGGATTGATTGCGAATTTGTTTGTTTGTTTGTTTGTTTGTTTGTTTATGATACTTTTTTGAGAGAAAAATAATTTGTGAGAATACGAATAAGAGAGATATTTGAAATTGAAGAAATTGAGAAGTTGAGAAGTTGAGAAATTGAAGAAAGAGAGAGGGAATTAACTTGCTTGCTTGCTGGCTTTTGTGGTTGGTGTTTGAGAGTGTTAAATGTAACGAAGGAAGGAAAGAGAGAGAAGGTGATTATTGGTTTGGTTTATTGACTCTTGATTTTGAATCTGATTTCGATTTGGAGGATATACAAGATACAAGATACGGGATTATATCAGTGTAAGGATTCACGACTTGGAGAGGATAGATAGCAAAGGGAAAGCAAGGAAAGGAAAGTAGGATAAGGATTCACCTGTCTTGACAAGATCATTTCGTGAATACCGTCGAAAACGTCATATGAGGATTTGATATTGGAAGAATATCTCTGCTCATCTATCCATCCCTTCGAATTCATAATCGATACGACGACTACCTACTCTTACCAACTTTTCAAACCCCTTACACTCCTCACTCGAAATACAACACGCCAATACACAAATAAACAAATAAACAACCAAAATGTCAATCCTCGAACGTATCAATCCGCTCGGATACGGCATAGGACGTACCACACACGCTCTATGGCGATTTCTCCAATTCGTATTGGCGCTCACAGTCATTGGATTATATGGAACTGATCTCGCAAATGCGAATAAACAACATAAATATTCAGATGGAAAATGGGTATATCTTCCTCTTCTTCTTCGTCTCTCTCCAAATCCTCTCCCCCCCCCAAATCCCTAGACCACTAACTAACTCCCCATCTAGGTCTACGCTGTCATAACCGGTACCCTTTCCGCGCTCACTTCACTCTTGCACCTCATTCCCCTCTTCAATCTCATCCCCGTTCTATTTCTTTGGGACGCTGTCCTCTTTATCCTCTGGATCGCCCTCTTCGGTCTCTTTGGCAATATGTATATAGGTGAGAAGGCGGAGGGGGACGCGGGCGTACAGAGGATGAAAAATGCAGTGTGGGTTGATTTGGTGAATGCGCTGTTGTGGGCGGGGAGTGTGGCGGGGATGGTGCTTTTTTGGAGTAGGGAGAAGAGGACGAGGTGGACGGGGAGGGCGAGGGGAAGGAGTGGAAGTCCGGGGGTTTGAGGGGGTGAGTGAGTGAGAGGGGGAGGATTGGAATGGGTGATATGATGGGAATGGTATCTTGCGGTTCTTGATCGGTTAGGAGCGAGAATGGTCTTTTCTTTTGGTTTGCCATGGGTCAGGTACCACGGATGGATACCAAGAAATTCATGAAGTACTCGTAATCATGTCGAAACCCTACCTACCTATCTACCTACATAAATCCAACAGCTGGAGATCAAGATTAAAGACATTGGGGAAAGAAATGTTGGACAGGAGTGGTTTTCTTTCAACTTTAATTGCGAAATATACCATTTTGATGCGGAAAGCAAAGGGAAGGAATGAAGGAATGTTAGGTAGATACCAGAATCGTTTAGTTTTAGTTTTAGTTTGGCTGAGCTTAGTCGTTTCGATACCCTTTATATGAGAAATGGATGGATTTATTTATGTTTGTTTATCTTTGTAAACTCCTTTCTATCGTTATACTCACTCTTGCTTGGTATTTGAGTACCTACTCATTCATATCTATTTTTTAGATATGATATCTAATCGGCGTAATACCATCGCCATGCACACCATCCTCTCCCTATCGTATCTCCTTCCCCACCATTCCTCCTCCTCCCTTCCTCAGAAACTTTTCTCCAACGAACTCCAAACCCAAAAAAAAAAGCCGCCTTCAAATCACAAAATACTACTTACTACCCCAAAAAATCTCCGACCCCGCGAAAACAAAAGAGGAGATCGTGAAATCTCTCAAAATTGCCCGTTCTAGGAATCGAACCTAGGATCTCATCATGTCGCGTGATTTTGTCACGAATACTAGTGATGCGCTTTACCGCTAAGCCAAACGGGCTGTTGAATTCATTTGAATTTGTTCTCAATGTGAAAGATGGGAGAGTCATCTGAATATATATTTATATGGTAAAAAGGGCGTGCGTCTTAGGGTGGGCTCTACTTCAGTGAAATGATGGGCGGGAATTGAATACCTATTGTTTGAGAGGACTTTAATTTGATATTTCGGGTATCATTTTTTCGTGGGAGATTAAATAAGAATGATAATGATTTCGATAGTTTAAGTGGTGTATTGTGTAAAAAGAATTCATATTTGGGTTTGATCTTTTCGAGTTTTGGTATTGGGTTTGAAGTGTACTTACTGGGTTTTTGATTTGATAGCTGGAGATAATATGTGGCTTCGATGTTTAGATAGGCTTGAAAGAGTTAATTTATGTTTGTTTTTTTCGGTTATCTGTATAGAGGTAGGTATCTGGGAATGTATAGGTAGGTATAGGTGGGTTTTTTATCTAGAGATTTGGTGGATTGAATTGAGTGGGAATAGGGATGGTGAGTGAGATGATGAGAGGAGAGGTAGATTTTCTTTCACATTTGGGAGGGGAAGTGAAGTGAAATAGACTGATTGGCTTGATTTGGTTGGGTGAGCTTGAACATGTGTATGTAGTCTTTTCTAGGTAGGTATTTAATCGTTACATAGTATTCATTCGAGGGTTTTGTTGTTTCTGCGGACGGTACTCTCATCGCTTATCATAGGGTCCGGCTCTATGTAATCGAAAAAACGGGCGGAAATTAAATACCCTTTAGATCGCTCTTTAGTGATATATCGAATACAGGTAATACTGGTTTTTGAGACATAAAAAAAGAGCTCTAGTTTTCGTTTGGTCCCTTCAAATAATGATATTTCATTTGAAACGTATTTATGATTCAATTGGTGAAGTTCTTTCTAAAGGTACTTGAATTCCGCCTGTTTTTTCGCTTATGCAGAGCCCGGATAGCTAGGAGGGAGAATATCCGATCTTCATCATCGCTTGTGAATCTGAAGGTAGGCTGATAAGTAAGTGAGTATATGGGGAAGAGGTCTGGATCTCCCTCTGGATGGAAGGGGGAAAGGGTTATGAAAATGTGTTTGATGCATTTGGGTTTGATGCTCTGAGTGAACGCTCTAGAACTGGTCTTCTTTTTGGTCATGTCTACCTAAGGAAAACGGCCACAACTATCTCTATCCATCCTCCCTGAACAATAGATTGTAGCCTATTTCATGATGGATTCAAGTGTTGATTATCAAGGCAGATTTTTAACGTAGGCATAAAAATTCATGTTGAAAATTACAATATAAATACCTTTGATTACTTTCATAATCTTCTATCATACACACGAAAATCAATTGTCTACTCCTCATCATCTATATATCTAAAATGACAAGAACCATTTCAAAGCTCAAATATCCATTATTATAATTTCGTAAATCGAAACTACAATTTTCAAAATGTTCAAGTTCAAACTCACAATCTTGACATCTCAAGCCTTACACTGAGACAAAGCCTGGACCTCGAGCTCAAGATGCCACCAAATCCTCAAGTTCCTCTTCCTCGCCTTCTAAGAAGGTACCGAGTGTAAAAAAGACACCAGAGCAGGAGCGCCGAGGTATCATCGAGGAGCTTGATCGAAAGTTCTACAAGTTGAATGATAAATTTTCGTGAGGGTGACATATGATAAGCATGACGACGTTAAATTGAAATTAGACAAACCATCCGGTCACCAAATTTCCATGGAAAAAGTAAAAAGATTTTCCAAGGAGGCAACAAATAATTCTAAAGATTATAAACTCGAAGTTTTCCTTACAAAGGGAATTTATACCTTCCGGTTGGAATGTATCAGTGATTCGGCTGCGCAAAGCAAGAAGCAGGCATGAAATGAAGGGCATTGATATTGATATGGCACCAGGAAATGCATACATTCATCGTATACATATTCCTGAAGAATAGCTATCGGAAAAAGTAATCAAAGAGGATTGAATGGTATGATTACAGCCAAATACCTAGGATGCAGATTCCCATACAAGATGACTAGAGTTTCTTCGTGGTGTAGATGAGTACTACAATATATTCCCTGGCTTGTGAGACTTTATGCTTTGGGGAGAGAGGATTAGTTGTAGTATTATTTCTCACCTGTTTAAAAACTTCACTTGATGATTTGATATGAAGTGCCCTATATTCTTTGCTTTGTATAATCAATGCCGTTGGTATCGATATGAGGATAGTAGAGCAAGTATGAAGAAATTTCAGGGATCGCTAACTCCTGCTCAGGGTATCAACCATGATTCTGTAGATGAGAAGCAAGAGTATCAGTCACGAAAAGAGGTGATGGAAAACTTTAGTGAATAATTAGTTTGATTGGCTTATTTGGTCTGGTAGTAATGAAAACGAAATACAATCCTCTCTTTTCTGTCTTCCTGAGTATCGTATTGGATGAGGAGTCATATGTAGTTGTTTTGGTTACTCTCCAATGTCAGAGTGTCCAATAGCCCGGATGGCAGTCCAGTAATGAAAATGATTAAATTCCCAAACCAATTTCAATATTCAAATCATCCAAGATATTGAAGTTGATTATAATATTAGACTATTTTCACATATCTAATTGCTTTTAGATATTCAACCCCTCATATTGTTGAATTACAATCCAAACTATTGGATATCCTATCATTCATATCATATGGAAAAGATACATGTATGTAAATGGTCTCTATATTGTAGATAGTCCGCCCTGCTAGCAATTCCCACATACAAGAAGAAAGATTGGTGGATGTATTCTCGCTGCAGGGCAGTACTTTAATATGAAATATCAAGCTAAGACGCTTTAATCAGTCAAATACAAGTTTCATAGTACGGGTGTTAGATTGAGTATACAACGCATGGAATGTAGCAGGTTGAGATGGATCTACATGTGCCTGGTATCTTTCTGCGTATACACGTGTACCCAGCTATCATCACTATCAATCCACTCCTATAGGCACATTGACTACCTTTCCCTATTATTTTAACGACACCCATTTCGGAGCATCTCTACTATCTCTCATCTCTAAATACTTCAAATTCATCTAGAACAGAAATAAAGGTCGATTACACACACCTGACAGAACTTCCGATGCAGTTACTAACCCAGTCCCAACTCCGAGCAATGACAACAAATAGCCATTCATTGAATGCAATGACACCATGTTATTTTTACTGTCATTTCAGTACACGAAATTATGATTTCACGGTACCTGATGATCTGATATCGGAGGAATCGCCCAATTCGACTAGAAGATGGGAATTTGAATCACTGTGCAGGATTGATGAAAGCTTTCACCCTGGCTTCACTTGAGGACTGTTCGTGACAGGTACTTCCAATTCTACAAGTATAGTGTGAATGACGAGCTTCGAGAACAAAATTGTCGCTTATATACTTTCGCTATGTCATCTACGTTTTGCCTGGAGATTTAGACTGCTCGAGGACTATCGAACATTGGGTACGAGATCTGAGTTCGAGTGGATAGTCTTACGCGTACTCCAAGTCTTCTCCGTAGCTTAAGAGAAATTCCTAGGTTGTGAAATTCTGCTTCGATATAGTATGACAGGAAACTTGCTAGCTCTCTTGTTGAGAGATATGTCATATAATGCTAAGATGACAAATGAGGTTGAGGACTTTGATGCTCGATCCCGAGATCTGACTATACACGATCAAATCGCTAGTACTGGTATTTGAGCCATTATGTATATGGGATATCTATTTCGCTGTGAATTGTAATTGTTGTCTCTGATATATAACAGTTATTACTGTTGACGAGATCCATTGCACTTAATCCCTCATTGTCGAGATGGGGAGGAAGGAGACAAATTTCTCCAAAGGCTATGATCTGCGGTAGATTTATTGACAAGTGTTTCTGGATCAGCCCGACACAATGCTGGTGTTATACTGACTTTTTTTACCCATTTCTCCAGTTCATACCACGATATATCCTTGGCCTGCATTATTTGTTACTCTGTTGGACCCTGCAAGCTACAAAGACTTTTATAAATAGGCAAGATGTACTTAGATGCCAGAACTGTATGTGATATCTGTGATACGGAGATGAGGGTTCAATGAGGATGGACATGATAGCATGGCACCAAGTCATTGTCTTCACGTGTATCATTCCCGTATTTCAAATTTACGGCTCGGAGAATCAACAGACTCCAGCTCTGTACCCT